GGGCTTCTTGTGCTTCTTGTGGTCTGTTGAATACCTGGCATAGGATTTGTTTAGCTGTAAGGACGGGTACCACATAATTGTCTTCAAAAGCTGGAAATTCTTACAAGTTCCCCCTCCTCAAAGTTCATTCCCGTAGCACCTTTCCCCCACTGATGCTAGTGACCCCCCTTTGTATGCTAATTACCCCTTTGTTCGAGGCGTTATCACATGTAGGTGTGTTCAGTTAAACACTGAGATTTTCAACATACTACTCTACAAAATGATTTTTTCATATTCTTTTGACAAACTATACTTGACTTTTTTACGGAAAATCATGACACACTTTAATGTGACTTATTCTTAATTTTACCATACTAAAGTAAGACTTGAAAATACTATATCGTTTTCTAGTTTTTTATATTATACATCCTTATTTATGTTAGTGGGCTGAGAAAACACAATAAGCAATAGCGTTTTAACAAGCAGTTTAAACTGTCTGTGTCAGTTTTACTTATCTCCATATTAAGTGATTATATAATATGACAGTGATCATTTCTATGTTTATTCATTGCAAATACTTAGTTACTTACCACTTGAACTGTTTAGCTCTTCAAGGTTAACTGACCTAATATATATACTTTTTTGTAGTATTGGCACCACGTTCTTAAGAATTATATGGACGAGTTGGCAGCTGCCATGGCTGGACTGTCAATCAAAAGTTACCAGTTATCAAGCGATGGTATGGACAACTTAACAGCTGACTTGGCTAGACTTACTATGAGGAGTCAGCAGGTAACAGATGAGTGTGTGAATGAAATAACAGCTGCCTTCAGAGGACTCTCCACTAATGCACAGCAGCTTCCTGTTAGTGCCTGCACTGAGAATCCTCAAATACAGAGACAAGTCACTTTGTCCACGCTCCCTGAGACCCTCAAGCCCACTAATGCCTAGGTGAATAATATTGACTTGTGTTAGTTTTACTTAAACTTACTTACATTAAGTGATCATAATATGACAGTGATAACTTCTATGTTTATGCATTGCAAATACTTAATTATTTTTTGTTAGTTCTACACCTCTCTTTATCCGCTCTCCAAGCCTCCAAGGGCGGACTCCTGAGGTCCGTAATGCCCCCCTAACATGACACTTAGACTATTTACATCATCTAGGGAAGCACACCAGTAAATGTAGCCTCATGTAACTTCATATAGGGATTCTTTAATAGTTGTGTGAAGTAGTTAAACAATAAGGGGGTAATAAGATCTTTAAATTATAATTTTCCTCTCAAAGAGACTTCGTTGTACACACACACACACAAACAAAACAACATTAAATAATGACATGATATTATAGTGATAACACATAATGTGTAGAAAGAGATGTCCTGTATGGGTTGATTGCGCGTTGATCTGTTGGTAAAATGCTCATCTATCATTTTCAACCAAGCAGTATGAGGTCAAATTTAATAAGTAATAGTTTGTCACGATTTTACGGGAAAAAGTCAGAGCGCAATGTCACATCTTAAAGACAGCTTGAACTGGATAGATGGTTAGTCTTTTTTCAAAACATACCATATGTTCTGCATGTTAGTATATTTGGCCAAATCGGGTTAGGCCCTACTGCCCCACTCCCCCAATAGGGAAGTCACGCTTTGAGAAGAGGTGTTTAATTTCACAGATCTGACTTGATGTGATGGCTGAAGTAATAGGGACGGGGGAGGAAAATTCAGGGGTGAAGAAGCAGAAAGATAACTTGTTTGTAAAACGGACAGCACTTCAGTTTCAGGAAAGATGACACATATAACTTCATATAGGGATTATTTTATTAGTGGATTTGATGTAATTAAACATAAAGAAAAAAACAAACGCCATGGGGTCATTAAGATCTTTAATTTATTGCCAACCTCTTCAGAGAGACTTTGTTGCATTTATTACCAGATTACCCCTCCTTTCAACAAAGAGAGGCCCTTATAGTTAGTATAGTAATTAAACATTAGTTCACCATCCGTACACTTCAAGAGAGCCTCCTTAGTTATTAACCCAACTCTTATTTTAAAAAAAAAAAGGCGGGGTAGGAGGGGAATACGGGTATGTGTGTGTGTGTGTGTGTGTGTGTGTGTGTGTGTGTGTGTGTGTGTGTGCGCGGATGGAAATCTCTCAGAATGATATCCCCTTTAGCGCAATACAGCATCAGCTACACCACTTATGTGACATACAAGAATAGTGTGTGACAGACAAAAGATGTCCTGTATGGGCTGATTGCGCATGGACATAAACGCTAGTAAAGTCTAATCTGACGGGGGGATACCCGCTGTTGCTGACGGAGGGAGATCCGATGCTGCGGACTATTCGACATGCATCTCTGCATGCGGTGAGCGGAACAAAACACACTCTTCAGATATCACACGTAGCTATTTTATTTACCTCTCAAACTACCTAAACTATTTATAGATATGTTTTAGTTTTACTGTCGAGTCACTCATTATTGGACCCGCGACTTTGATACTGTCGTGTTGTCAGGAGGGGGAGAGCAGTCCGTTTATTATTCCCGTGTTATTGTAAATTACTGTACACGTTTTTGAATAGTTAATTAATCTACTATAATTAGTTGGTTTAATATCGAATCATATCAGTTTGTTTCAAAGCTCATTAAATAACATAGAAGACCTTTAACCGGCACTTTTCTAATTCTGCCCCGGAAGATTTAAACTGTAACGAACATGCCGACCGGACAGGAGGGGGGAGGAGGAGGGGGTTGAGAGGGGTGGGGGCTGAGCGGGGTGGGGGGCTACCTGAGAGGATGTAGCACCTGTATGTGAGGGGGAGGGGGGGGGGGGGGGGGCTGAGGGGGGTGGGGGCTACCGGTGAGGATGTCACACCTGTACGCGATAACACCTCGAACAAAGGGGCTCATTAGCATATCAAATGGGGGTCATTAACATAATTAGGGGGCGGGACTTAGAAGGTGTGACCTGTCACTTTTTTATGCATACTAATGAGATTGAAGCGGGATATGTAATACTACTGCAGGGTGTTATATCATTCATTTCAAGGGCATGGGGCGGCAGGTCCAGTGATAAGCATATTACAGAAAATTGTGGCTTCTTAGATAACATTTTGCCTGGTGATTTGATTTTGGCAGACCGAGGTTTCAATATAAGTGACTCAGTGGGTTTCATGTGTGCTGAGGTTAAGGTGCCTGCATTCATGAAAGGCCGGAAACAATTATCAATGAAAGATGTTATTGACACAAGGAAAATTGCTAACGTGCGAATTCATGTTGAGCGTGTCATAGGATGTGTAAGGCAGCGATATACCATTTTGGGAGGACCAATTCCTATAGACTTTTTACTTTCTAAAGATGTAGATGGGATTACATTGATGGATAAAATAGCTGAAGTGTGCTGCGACCTGAATAATTTGTGTGATACTGTAATACCCGTTGATTGAGCCTTTACATTCTGTTACACCCCAATCAACCCATATCAGATTTAAAAATATTACATGTTTGTATTGTAATTAGTATTACATTATTGTCAATGTTGTACTTGGTCAATTAAATGTCTTGATAATCAGAGCAGTGATTTGGGGTTTGGTTGTGTAGGGGAATGTTTGAAAAATTATTTAAGCTGTTTTCAGGCATGGAAGATTAATGTTTTTCTCTCAAGTTTTCTATTGTCAGATTGGACACATCTGCTTGAATGTGGTTTCAGACCTGCACTGCACACTGTAATAGTACTGGTAGAATATTTAAGCTTGGGTAATAAATACATTTTGAAAAAAACAATTGAAAGGGCAAAGTATTATATTTATTACAGGTTTCCAATGTACACATTGAAAAAGGGTGAACAACAAGTACATGCTCCTTTAACTGTAAACTGCAGAGATCACCTCACATAACAGAGATAGATTAACATTGTGTCCATATTACAGTTTTTTTCAATGCTAAAACACATTTTTTGAAAGCAGGGCTTATTTTCTCAAAACACTAAACACAATTCACAAAACCATACACACAAAGTGCAAAACACCTACTGCAGAATGAAGCACTGCATCCAGAACTACAGAAACACCAAACTTTTGCACCAAATGGCACACACTTCATTTATAGTACAAGACATTTTGTAAAACCAACTACACACCATCGTGCTCAAGCACACTCATCTTTTATGGCGTTTCATATAGAGAATTCTGCAAATAAATATTGTTTAAGTCTCCAAAATATGTGCAGAAACACAAATATACTGTTGTTATACTTTTACTTTTCAAAAAGTGGAAAGTTGAATTGCAAATTGGGTGCAGAGCTGAACATGTGTTTAGAGTTTTGGAGATTTGAGCTGAGGTTTTGCTCTTTCAATGTCCGTTTAAATAATGATGCTTTGTGTCATTTTAGTGTGTACAACTTTTTTTGATTGTTACACTTACATGTTCTTTATATAGATTTGATGTAAAAGAAACATGTTTAATCAAATAAATATATACACTGTCATTCAGATTGATTCGTACTTCTGTTTCTTTTGAGAGGGGACATGCTGATGACATTTGTCACAATACCAGCTTCCTTTGGGGGCAACTGTTATCCCAACACATTCAAAATGAAACCAGATAGTTTCACAATTTGTGTTATCACATCCTATCATGGGAAGCTTTTCCTCTCCACGACAAAGGCACCACTTGGGTATCAGTGGTTGGGTATTGGTTGGCTGAGTCAGAGTGGCACATAGAGCAGGGTCTGGTATCAGGCAGAGAGGCCTTTTTGGTGCAGTAATGGAGACTGGTGTAGTTGCACTGGAAATTCTGGTGAAGAATTGCCCACTCAACTCGAGGAGAATGACCTTCTGAAAGAATTCATGAGCTTTGGGGTATACCTTCTCCCAAAAGTCAATATCTGGGGTTATGCGTTCAAGATGAATCTTTCCATTCACCCACAGAACAAAGTCAGCATATTCAACATCACATAGAAATAACTGGGTCTGCACTTGATAGAAATAGGCATGGGTCTTCTTCAGCCTGTCCTGTCCATCACGTGATTCCAGACATGTATGGTCTGACGGTGCAGCAACACAGTAGGGGCATTTAATTTCCAAAACACCTACACCACAGCACTTGCAGGACACAACACCATCTGGAGTAGCACCTAAATATGGAAATGTTGGCGATAACACGAGCCCAGAGTCCTGGCAAATGAAACCGTCATGTCGATTCATAATTGTAATGTAATCTTCACGTGCTGATTTCTCGTGATTACATCCCCATTCAGTAGCTGCAGTTTTAAATTTTGTGGCTTCTGGGTAACAAATAGCTTTAATCAAGCTAAGCGATGGTTTAGTTGCACTTGTTGAACATGCTGCCTTCATACGAGATGCTGTAATCCACCCAGCTCTGTATCGATACCAGAGTTTGGATTTGGCCTGTGTTTTTGTGGCCTTCTCAATTACATCCGCCTCCGGCTTGGTGATAGCTACATTGATCCCTTGGCAATGTTCTGTAAGGGCTTTATGGTCCATTTCTAGGCAGTTCTCACTTTTTAAACTAGAAAGCGGCTTAGGAAATGTTGACAAAGTCACTTTTGGGACAAAATCGGCATTGTGTGGAGCTGAGATTGTCAATATTGCACACTTCCTTCCAGTAGATTTCAGTGATGCCAGGAAAGACTGTTGCTCAGCATCTGTCGCTTTTGTAATCTCCCTCGAGTGACGTAAAAGTGGTGTTGTTGTTGTTGTTAAATTAGCTGCATCGCCAAGGCTGTCAATTGCTTGGCTTAAACGATTCCTTCGGGTTTTAGCCGAAGTAAAGTCAATGTCAGCAACAGGGGAAGGTGTTACATCCTTCACTGATCCAGGTAGAAGCCAATACGCCTTTTCCTGGGTAACTGTCTTGGCATCACGTATCCGTATAGATGTTTCTATGTAGAAAAGGAGAGATGCAACATGGGTACATGTTGATCCCAAACCAGCTTTGCAGTTGCAGTTAGCTGTGATGACTGCCCCATCCTTCTTCATCAGTACCCACGGACATGTTGGCGGCAGCCCAATACTCTGAGAATGCAATACCTGAAAAATAAAATACAAAAATATTATTGGATTGTTGACTTTTTAGAACCACCAATATTTTGGTTCAACTTTACTTTCAAATACTGATTGTTTACACAACCAGTGGGTGGTCAGCTCTTGTCATACTCCTATGCTAGGTAGCACATAACATAAGCTGACAACCAAGAATAGGTTCACAACTTTTGTAATTTAAATGTATTGCAATATATAATAAAGCTTTATTTATAAAGCCCTTTTCATAAAGCACATGTAGCTCAAAGTGCTTTACAAAATGGCACACATCACAAGTTAAAAATAAACCACAAGAAATTCCCCTCAGATCAGATGTTAAGACCTTTACAGGTACATGCAGCATAGCAACAACATATAACATTTTAACGAGGAGGTAAAAGGTATGATAATAAAAATAAATAATAAGACACAAGACTAAGTTCATTGATGCAACAATATAAAACCCTATAAAATAAAGTAAACATATAGATATAGGTACAACAAAAATAAAAGCTGGTGTTTAAAAATGTCCACTGAGTTGGCCTCTGATATTTCTTGGTAGCGTAGTGGATAAAAGCAGCCTCACCCATTTTATTTTGGGGGACTTTAGGGATATTTAAAAAGCCAGCTGAAGAGGCCCTCACGAAATATTTACTCACTTTTCCAGCTATTACAGCCACATCTCCTTGATATGCAACGCAAACGTCGCGGATCCACCCGGATGTGAACTGGTTATGTGCCTCGAGTCCTTTGTACGCTTTCATTTCCTCCATGGTGTACAATGGAATAGGCGAAAAAACCAGGTAGTTCACGATATCACAGTAGGAAAGTGAAGGCCATGAATTTATATCAGTGCTGTAATCCTTAACGGGAATCAAATAAGGGTCCACCGAACCAATCGACGCACATTTTTCTCTGTAAACGGTCTTATCCTCCGGGTTTAGTGATTCGTAGTAGCCTTTCATTTTCGCCATTTTTGAACGCTCCCGCCAGTGGAGTGGTACTCCAAGATGTCTGACGCGAAATCCCGTGACGTCATTAGGAAGCCTCTATTATTACATTGTTAAACCATTTACTCTTATTGCAAATACTAATTTTACACTGGTAGCGATTAAGTCGTATTATCATAGTAGTAGTTTACATTGAAAATATACATTTGAACTCTGGGCTTCCTCTTTCTCTGAGGATGCACGTGGGGGAGTGGTCTCTTTCAGTTTCCTCACTCGGACGCGTTTACCCTCCGAAAGCTGCTGTTCAATTTCTTCTTTTGTATCTGGAAGAAATAACACTGAGTGTAAGTACTTAACATCTGCAATACGTATTATATGTACATTATGGGATATTATAAAAGTTCGTTGTTTGAGTCGTTTGTCTTCTGTCGCAAAGCAACATGTTTAACTCAGCGGCAATAGCTTTCAACTAACGCTAGCTTCCCGCTAACGTTAGCTTGCAACACGCGAGCAAGCAGCTAACGGGAGTTTGCAGCTAACGGGAGCTTGCAGCTAACGGGGCAGCTACGCGAGCTTGCCTCCAACGTTAGCTTGCCTCCAACGTTAGCTTGCCTCCAACGTTAGCTTGTTTAATTTTGCTTGCCGCTAACTAGTTTAATGGTTCTCCAACTAGCAATTGCTAGTTGGAGAACCATTACGTTAACGCTACCATTTTAGCCAAAACTCATAACAAATGTAACTAGCATATCTTAGTTGGTCATTGCTATGGTTTTAACGCAGTATTCAGGACATCATCACTCACCCTTTACAAATAATATTTGTCCCTTGAAGAAATCGTCCTGCCAGCGTACCCAATAAACAGTATCAAGGTTACATTGTATATATTTCTCCCTGTCAAAGTCCTTGATATAAGAAGTTGGAACGATTTCTTTAACTCCGTCGTCCAAGTATTTCACGTAGGCAAACATTTTTGCTTAATTGATCGTGGTTGCTGTGTGGGTCAGTCCAGAGCCCTATAATAGAAATTCTATTATAGATCTCTGGATCAGTCGAACATCTCCTGTCTCTCAGCCAATCACAGAGTGAATTTAACTATACAGAGCGGGAAGCGCGTGAGCTGAGGTCTACCTCAGCTCACGCGCTTCCCGCGGTTCACGCACTTCCCGCTCTGTATAGTTCAATATAATATTTAATACCAGTAAATACTATAGACTGCATCTCTCTTACAGATTTTGTCTGTGTGCAGTAGATGTCGTATATAGATATATAATGCTTGCAATCTTTTGAACTCTAGCAACACAGATAAGGTTTAAAAATTAAATTATACTAATCAGTTTAGAATATCCAAGTTTCTTTTTTGGCAAATAAATTACTTTTATCTAAAAATATTCATTGTTTTTTCTCATTTAAAATGACAAATGTAATCTTGTAAATGTTGTGTTTTGTCTGAATATTTCCCCCCCCCTCCCTGGCTCCATAATATTACATTTAATGACCCCCAATGGGACCCCCCCCCCCCAAGGTGCTTTACAAAAATGAAAGACATTCAGACAAAGGCAGCAATATAGTCCGAGTTAGTAAAAACTGCTCGTTAATTTAAATTGTTCGGTTTATACTGTCAGTAGAATAATTTCAACCTATTATTGGTGAAATTGCCATTCATTAGTCAGTCTGTTAATGATACCCATGTTCTTTTTTAATTTTAGAATGCCAAAACGGAAGTACAAATTGCACTTGGAGCCTCACAGTGCAATCAACGCCGAGCTAAACTGAAAAGTGGACATTTTGATGTAAGTTAAATCATGATATTTTTTGTGTTACACCTTTCAAAGTATCAATTATGTAATTATTATTTTTCATTCTTACCTGGTGATGTCATTTTAAGGTGGCAGATGACTTCCAAAACAATTCAGGGTCACACGTTGCAGATGTTGAGGTGAGCGAGGATTATGCTGTTTCAACTTATGTAAGACATTATTTCGGACTGGACAAAACAACGTTTTCTTTATCCTGTGCAGACCAGGGGCCTATACTACGAATCTAATTCAACATATCCTGGATATGTTTTGAGTTATCCGGTTGACTAAATCCAAAAAAAAAAACGCTCTCGCTAAACTGTCCTACGACGCTGGCTATCAACTCGATCGCTCAAGCCAGCCGTGTCCTATCTAGTTAGGTGCGCGTTCACATAAAATGGGTGGTATTTGGAGCATTCGACCAATCACAAACATGGACAAGCGTACTGACAGCGCAGCGTCATACTTCCTGAATGAAAAGTCAACTACAATATTAGTCAAATATGAAGAAGTTAAACTTTAAACATCCATGACTTAAACACTTTATCCAGGATAAAAGCCACATAGTTGCAGCTGCAAGGTGAATACAGCTGGTAAAAGAAAAAGTGTTTGAATACGTTCATTAACAGTTTCATGATATCACTGCCCCGTCTAAGACACGAGTGGATCTGACTTTAATTACATTTGACTCGAGTGTTTCGTCAACAGATACGGCTCAAGAAGCTGACTCAAATAAGGAAATATATGATACATTATGATGTGATATCATGTGATGTGAATGATAATGGGACACATCGACGTCTGCACTCACAGTGCCGCGGACTGTACGTAATGTTACTTTGATCCGGTTACTTATGTTGTGGCAGATATTTAAGTAAGCTTTCTTAATGCTAATGTTATAATAGTCAGATTGCTCTGAAGATGGGAGGTGATATTCTATTCATTTTCACGTTCACACAGTCGGTGATTTTGGCCGGCCGTCTTTCCTGCAACGGCAGTTTAAACTGTATTTCCTTTCTCCTGTCATATGAATTGATCGCTTTAAACACACTGAGCTCTGATTGGTCAGCAGGCAGTGCTTTTATCCTGGAACCTATCCTGCTCCGGAGGCTAGCCGTTCAGAATAAGTTATCTAGCCCGCTAAGAAGTGAACCAGCGTCGTAGGACCGGAAATCCAGGAAGTTAGCTTGCTAAACGAAAATCCTGCTTCGTAGTATAGGCCCCATGTCTCCATGTACAAGTTATGTCTCAAATGTTGAGGTAAATGCAATCACAATTCCCTTTGTGCTTTGGGTTGTCATACATTTCTGTATTCACTCACATTGTATGCAGAACCTGCATTCTTAAATACATGTTTTCTGATGTTTTTTAGCTCATATCTTCTTCTGGTCACATTCCCCTCACATCTGAGCAAGGGACATTGCCCAGCAGATGGATTGGGATTCCCCATTTGAAGGCACTGTTTCTGTAGTCCTTAATATAAGACGTTGGAACGATTTCTTTAACTCCGTCGTCCAAGTATTTAACGTAGGCAAACATTTTTGCTTAATTGATCGTTTGATGTGGTTGCTGTGTGGGTCAGTCCAGAGCCCTATAATATAAATTCTACATAAAGAAGCAGGTAGATTACAAATAAATGCATTTGATGCTCCCAGTTATTTGCATTATCCATCCTATTATATTGTTGTCTTTTTCCACATTTAGATGCCAGTCACACTTGTTACTCTGGGGAGAATTCTGGAGGCAGGCGAGACCCCACTCCCCGGAACGTTCCTTGCTCGCCTACACCAAGACCTGGACAACCCAGGTGGACTTGGGGCCTTTAGCATTGCCGGAGAGGATCAGGAGGGGACACGGAATTCTGGAGCGCCCCCGGGAAGAGATGTGGACCAGATTTGTCAGAGATGTAAATACATCCCTTCTTACTTTTAATTTCAATATTTATTTTCCTTGAACTGAACAATGTATAATATGTCATTCCAGGTCCTCAAACCTTACATCTGCATGTCTGCGGATAGCAGTTAATGGACCAGCACCAGAGTATAATACAACAGTAACTGAACTCCCCCAAGACCTCCGTGAGTCTGAGTCCCTCACCCTGTTCCAGTCCCGCCTCAAAACCCACCTCTTCAACTCTGTATATCCATAAGCCCCCCCCCCTCTCAACCAACTTCCTCCTGACTGCTTTTCTGTTTTGTTTTGTTTGTTTGTTTGTTTTGTTTTGTTTGTCTACCCTCCCTCCCAAAAACATTTCTGGCTATTTCTGACAACTACTCCACTACATCTCTGAGTAAATATTGTACTATTTAGTATGCAGAACCTGCATTCTTAATGCAGCTAACGGGAGCTTGCAACTAGCGCTAGCTTGCTTCCAACGTTAGCTTATTTAACTCAGCGGCCGTTAGTGGCAAGTATTTTGCTTGCCGCTAACTAGCTAAATGGTTCTCCAACTAGCAATTGCTAGTTGGAGAACCATTACGTTAACGCTGCCATTTTATCCAAAACTCATAACAAATGTAACTAGTATATCTTAGTTGGTCATTTAGGCAAACATTTTTGCTTGATTGATTGTTTGATGTGGTTGCTGTGTGGGTCAGTCCAGAGCCCTATAATAGAAATTCTATTATAGATCTCTGGATCAGTCGAACATCTCCTGTCTCTCAGCCAATCACAGAGCGAATGTAACTATACAGAGCGGGAAGCGCGTGAGCTGAGGTCTACCTCAGCTTCCCGCGGTTCACGCGCTTCCCGCTCTGTATAGTAAATACCATAGACTGCATCTCTCTTACATATTTTGTCTGTGTGCAGTAGACGTCGTATATAGATATATAATGCTTGCAATGTTTTGAACTCTAGCAACACAGATAAGGTTTAACAATTAAATTATACTAATCAGTTTAGAATATCCAAGTTTCTTTTTTGGCAAATAAATTACTTTTATCTAAAAATATTCTTTGTTTTTTCTCATTTAAAATTACAAATGTAATCTTGTAAATGTTGTGTTTTGTCTGAATATTTCCCCCCTATGGCATGTACAAGGCATGTATTTCACAATAAATACTGTGTTCAAAAAACAAGGTAATATCCTCTATATATAACCCAGAAGGATTAAGTGCTCTGACAAACAGCTCTGTGCAAAATGAATATTGCCATACAGGAATGAAAAGTCAATAAATAAACATGTTGTTAAAACTCACACGTTTTTGTTGTTTGTCACATGTTGTTGCATGTCACA